AGTAGAAACGTTTAACTCTTGTGAGTTCAATTGATTTATAGGTTCTTTAGAGAAATAAAATTAGCTTGGCTTGAATATTACTTGTGAAATATGGACATTTACTGACAATTTAAAAATGGAGTCATGTTCAATATAGCATCTTAATCCTTGTATGCAATATGCTTATTCATCTTGTTGAAATTGGAGCAACTGTAGATAGACTGCAACAGAATTTGAAAATTTATTCTTGTTGAGAGTAAATACTAGAAGTGAGTTCCTTCAGATGTTATAAATTGAGAGTCCACCCAAAGTTGAAAATATACCAACAATAAATATCTATTATACGACTTAAACAAAGGTTCAACAAAATTAATCGAATTCTCTAAAACACTCCTGTTCCCTAAAATAGAAAGGTCCACACATTCATGGTTCTGAGCCTCCAAAGTCCAAACACAGTATAAAACTAATCAATTCACATATTCATATCAACATACCACCAGACGTGCAAAGATCAGCATTAAAATTTCACAAGGTAACTGAAATCAAATTTGGGTTCAGTACAGTTTATTTTGTAGATCCACTGTTCTTAAAACTTCCTCAAATCAACAATAAAAGCAAACGAAACAGCAGCCAGCATAGTTTACAGCCATCAAAACCCACCAACGATCCAATTTCAAGTCTATATCCCAATTAATGTGTAATTCTTTGATATGGCATCTTAGTTTCGACTTGGGTCGGTGAAGAAGTTGTTGATGGATGGCATAATTTCTGGGGACTTGTTGCGGACGAATTTCCTCAGGAAATGCTCCGCATACTTCTCTCCCTCTGCAAAGTTATCCAGGACTCCAGCAGACCTATTCTCCTTGCTCACTCTGATTTGAATAAGATCACAAACAACGCACTGATGAGGATATATAACTCTTAATTAAGAACAAAGAACAATCTATTTCGATGAAGCTATACTTCAACAAGTAGAGATATATCTTATTTACACCCCATTTCAATGAAAGTCAATTGTCTGACTCCCCTTCTTCACACGGCCATACTGATAAGTGATACAAACCCATGAAATATTTGGTATTTTCTTTTATGGTTTGTATTCTGGATTAGGTTCATCCTTGTAATAATGGGATGACTGAGTTGTAGACATAATAGCCTAAGAACTCGACAGTATCCCGTTGAATCAGAAAAAAAGAGGGTAGGTTCATTGAGCTCTTACTAATTAGAACAAACAAATGAGAGGATAGGAAAATATTGGTCGCTTCAATTTCTTGGTAAATTTCATTTGCAAATCTTGACAGAATTGAAACTAATTACATAACGATTTACACCCTGACATATCTTCTCAGCTCTATCCACCGTCTATGTTGCAGATAATTGCTAAAAACCTAATATTCCTTTACCAGATTATACATTGTTATACATGCATCATAATCTGACAAAATCCCCACACTCATCCTATTCGAAGTAATTGCAGGAATAGCAGAGGGGCAAAGGTAGGTTGGTGTAAAAAATTTCTCATTATTTGTCTCCAAATACAGTATTATCATAATCCGTGAGAATATCTAGATAAACCACAAAATAATAACATCCGAAAAACCTGAAACACAAAAAAGGAAAAATGGAGAGAACTCGGAGAGACCTGACTTCAGGATTGATGCAGATGTTGCGGACTAACTGGAATCCGCAGATTCCGACGGCCACTCCTACGGCCGCGAATAGTGGGTAAACCTAAACAAGGTACAAAAATTAAGATTTTTAGACATGGAAACCAATACAAATTGATAAGTTAGAGGATTGGAAAACAATCAGAAGGAAGATCTGAATGCTACCTCTGGCCTCAGCCATCGACTGACGGTGGAAGGAGCCATTGATCTTTCTCGGCGTAGGAATCGGATCGAAAAGACTGAAACGCGGCTGAATCGGAGAGTCGGGGGGAAGGGGATGAGAAATTCGGGATTATATATATTCGAGAATTTTTAATATTATATATATATATTATATTATCATACTCTATGCTAATTGGCTGTGACGGTACGGCTTTTTACACGAATTATAAGTTGAGAAGTAAAAATGTGAATTTTTATCTTTTTTTTTAATATAATAATACTCGACGCTAATTGGCTGTGACGGTACAGCTTTCTACGCTAATTACAAGTTGTGAAGTTGATAAGTAAAGTAACAAAATGCCCTACTTTATTTTATTTTATTTTATTTTATTTTCTTTTTTGAGTTTGGTTAAAATTTTATTTAATTGATTTATACTCGTGACAAAAATGTTGTCCTTGCACTCATAAGTTTGTATATTCTAATCGTATTATTTGATACTCCTCTTATTTACTACCATATCAATATCATATTAAAAATGTTATACTCCAATAGAAAATTTCATAATAAAAATAAAGATATAAAAACGGAGCACTAGTTTTAGAAAATTTCCCAATTCATAAGAAAAAAAACCATGGGATGTTTTTTTTTTTCTATCTTTCATTTGGATCGAAGGAACCTTACTTGACTTTAGTCAAATCGAACCTAACTCGACTGGTTAAGATGTCTATTTCCAATTAAAAGATAAATTCTCACTCTAAATATTGTATTTTACTCGACTTTGAAGTTCTATCCCTTAAAAGAAAAGACTTAACTTCGTATTACAACGTTATTTTTCAAAAAATAATTTATCCAAGTTTTTAACTATTTAAAATAATTTTTCTTTTAGGAATTATTTTTCTACTACCACGTTCAAGACACAGAATCCTGTAACTTGGCATTATCCTAAATTTATAATTTCTCATGGAAATTTTGACATAAAGAAATCAAAGATTCCAGTCCTCCAATTTCTGTATTCAGTCATTATAAAGAATCCGTGCTAAGGGAGGTTCATTACTGTTACTGCCACCAATTTTTCTCTCAGATAGCAGCTATTAAAAATAATAGTTCAATACTACATTACGCACGTATCATTGACCAAAAAGTTAGAATTTCGAACCTCCAACTCACATCTTAGACTAAAACAAACAAAAAAAAAAACCAAAAATTTTAGGCTTAAATTAATTTACTCATTGTATCTCTCACACTTTCATCTTCAAAGTTTCAAAACAAGAACAAGAGGTTAATATACATGATATATAGTCACCACCAGCACCCATTATATTTAACATTTCACTACAAAAAGTACTCTTCTCCCTTTGTGGGATATGGGCAAAATTGCATTTGACATTCTAGGTCTCTATAGTTATCAGGAGGCAGAAGAAGCCTTCCATCGGTGAAACAATGGGCAAGTAAATCAACATGTCCATTTCAGTTCATTGATGCAGTTTTCCCCGGTGCAACAAATTGGCAATAATTTTTCATTGCATTTTGTAACCTTCCAAATATCAACTAGTCAATTTAAACTTTACGAGCACGGTCACGCCAAGAACCTTGTTGTTTTGCAAGTACCTATACCAAGGTTCCAAAAGATAGGGTTTGCTATCACTATTCCATTCACCACCAAAAGATCGTTGAATAAAAAGGGACAGAGAATGACAGAAATATACCTTCTCACTCAATAGACTTGTTGCCTGACCACAATCATCGCATGCTTCCATCACCTTTTCATTCTCCACCTCAACTTCATCATCAGTTGCACTCAATAATTGACCCACTGGTGCTCCAAACATGGCCTCGTCATGAGCAGCTTTGATTTGCTCCTCTTTTCTAGCCTAAAATGACCATATATGAATTCCATCAATCATGTGAGAGAGAATGAAACAAGTGGAGTGATTGCTAGCACCATAGAGTAAGGCACAACCTCGATTGCAGAAAATCGAAAGCTTTGTCCAATATGTTTTACTAATGTTGCATCATCTTCTGCAGCTGTAGGTATAATGAAGCCATATAAGGAGATCCGATTTACTAAATAATATTATAAGAATGTTCATCCTAGGCCAATGACAACCAGTACTAGAGAAGTAAGATCAACTTAGGACACTTGAAATACAAATTTACCACTTAACAAGGTGCTGAGGGTGAATTTTGGTGGCACGCCCAAACGATACTTGGAAACTTTTAAGGAAAGGGGTTCTCAAGTAAGCCTTGTGGATACTTGGCTCGATATTCTCATGGTTAGCAAGGTTGGTAAACATGCTATGCTAGACAAGCGTCAAAGGCAAATATATATTTGTATTATTTGAGTGAGATGGTTGCACAGTGGGGGCTTTATGAAGTTACTTCTAGGTCCACAAAGTATATCTTTGGTTGGACTCTTCTGACAAGACAAAGACCTTTTTAAGGATTATGATCATCAGAGCTCTCTCTCTCTCTTTTTTTTAGAAGATCATCAGGGCTCTTTTACTGACAAATAAAAACTGTCTTACAATATATGGTGAGTATAAACAATGATTACTTTTAGAAAGCAATTTGAGTTCAAGTTCACAAAATGACTAGATTCGAAAAATAATTAGAAGACCAATAGCTAAAATATATACCTTCAATTTCTTCATCATCAAGTGGAGCATCCTTGTCGAACTCAAATCTTTCCCAACCAGGGCCTGTGCCTTTTGTATCGTCCATTCTAGCTGTATTTTACATATGAAGAGTCAGATACAGTAGTTATGAGGTGGCTATTTTTTTTTTGTATGCTAAAGTCCCCTTTACAATTGGGAAGGAGGGAGAAAATGGAAATGGGAAGTCATTCTTAATCCATTCTTTAGCAATTCGAGCTCAGTTTAAATAGCTCCAGTTCAATTTAAATCAATGATTCGTTCGTTAAGAACTTTAGGCATGAAGGTCCATGTAATCCATTGTAAAGAAAGTATTATTTATCAATAGATAAGTTACCAGTTTCAGCAAGTTGAAGTTTCATCTTTGCTTTGACTCTTTCCGCTGGAGACTGGTGGCAAACAAAAGAAAGCTTACATCAATTTCCAATTACAAGAGTTGCATGGCAGAATTATGGCAGAGAGATGACATAGGTAGTAATATCTTACGTGTCTGGTCAATTCACCACTGAAGAAGACAGTAACATTGGCGCTTGTTTCTTGTAAGAAGAATTACAAGGAGATAAGATACTAAGTCTTTGTTTCTATGTAATACAACTAAAAGAATACCATCTTCTGGAGACCGAACTTTTCTTGCACAATTTAACTTCAAAGAATAATTGCAAATTACACGCTCAAATTCTCCTATTTTGTAAAACATTCTCTTACGTTTTAAAAATGGTTTCAAACATCTTTGCAATTAGTCAATTTGCAAATCATATCCTTCCGTCAATTACTTTGCAAGGGAATTGGTATATGTGGCACACCTTGAATAAAGCTACACATACCAATTCGGTATTTTTAACAGAAGAGTTTAGATTCTGCAAACCATATGGATTTTTAAAACTATTCTCAAAACATAGAATTATCACTATGTAATTTTCCCCGACTTCAACAGCCAAGTGTAAGAGAAAGATCACTATGAGTAAAGCTACACATACCAATTCAGATTTTTTGTTTTTTTTTTAATAACTGGGAGTTAGAGTTTTGCTCCCCTATACCTAAGGATACCTGTGCCCATTCTAAGGTCCGGGCTTAGGAGATACCAAAGGTTTTTGGTATTAAACTCACCAGAAGATTCGAGCTTGAAACCTCTAAGCCAGCATGACTAAAAGATCCCAAGTCCCGGAAGGGTTTAGATTCTGCAAACCATATGGATATTTAAAACTATTTTCAAAACATAGCATTATCATTTGTAAACTAGACAAGCTACATAGTGTCATTTGTAATTTTCCCTTACCCTGGTCAAGTGTAAGAGAATAATCACCATGTCTGACACCGACTTAACAATTCAAACTCAAGTTTGTCAAATTTGAATCACACTTTTACAATTATCCCCAAAGCGTCTACATACGACCTCCATATCCCCTGGATAATATGCGTGTCCAACAACCCAAGTTTATACTAGCATTATCACATCGAACAACAAGACGCAAAAATGATGACAGAAACCATCATGTACATTTTAGAAGAATATAGAAGTATTGTTTCAATGATCTTAGAAGGATATAGAAGTCTTGTTTCAAACTATTAGTTGCTTACACACAAAAATACGGCATAAGAATTCAAAGGCGGGGAAAATTCTAGAATAGCAATACGATGCCGAAACCAATGACAAACTGAGGAGAAATAGCACTTTGATTAAAAGATATATATAATGAAGCGTACCATCTTGTCATATCCTTCAATCAATCTTGAATAATCAACTCTTTCAGGCTTCTGTTTCTCAACTTTCCGGTCTCTCTGTTTTTCCCCTCCATTGTTGTCCGACCTCTGCCTCTCTCGCGACGAGCTTCTACTCCGTCGACGCCGCCTATCCTTATCAGAATCACCCCTGGACCTACTTCTCCTCCTACTCTTTCTATCCCCATCCCTATACTTATCTCCATATCTATCTCGGCTCCTACTTCGCCGCCTCGAATGCCTCTCTCTATCTCTACTCGAACTCCGCCTCCTCGAATGCGACTGTCTCTCCCTCTCTTTACTCAAAGGCCTTCGTCTAGGGCTCGATTCCCGGCGGTCTCTCTCCAAAGCCCTAGGGCGCCTCTCTTCATCGTCGGCTGAGCTTGGTTTCTTCTTCTTGAGCTTGTACTGAATGGCCTTGAGCTGCGCTTGCTTCTCGAACTCGGATGCCTTGGAAGGGCTTGAGGCTTTAACAAAAGAACTGAGGAAGGAAGAGGAGGAAGGGAGAGCGGAGCCCTTGGAAGTGGATACCAAATCGCTGTTGGTATCGGAGGAGGAAAAACCGAGGCCTCGTTTGTACCTTGCCGCCCCTTCTCCTTTACGAGTGAGCTCATCGTAGTACGCCGCAGCTTTCGATTCCTCCATTTTTGGCTTCGAATTTGGGTTCTGTGCTTGAGGATGTGATGAAACGCTAGAGATTATTGGGAGTCGCGGCTGACCGCGAATTGGAGAGAATGACGACTCACGAATCAGGGGGGAGACTCTTGAGTCGTTGCTCCATTTCCGACGAATTTGAGCATCTTAAACCTTTCGGAATTAAGAGACATGAAGATTTTCGAATCTCAATTCAAGAGAAGAGATGATCAAATCCTCAAAAATTACATTTTTTTTTTCCTGAAAAGAATTTATATATTCTGAAACATTTTCTCCTTTTTTTCTTAGCACGTGGAGTAGAAAATATTCAAACGGAACTATGCTCATAATTTTCTTACATAATGCTAATTCTTAATGTACATTTTGTTAAAATAAATAGCTAGCTATAGCCAGGATGCCGTATGATATTTTTTTTAAATATAACATTACAATTATATGGTGTAAATTAAAACAATCAAACCGATAAAAAAGATTATTGACACATTAATTGTTCAGCTAAAGTTGGTATCTTCCTTTTTGTTAATTTTTTTTTTATTTTTTGCCATTAAAAAAAAGTTATCAAGGTTAGTAGCACAAATGCCTCTAATTCTCTGACCTTGAGCATATGCTACTTGAGATAATAGCTAAAATATTTTAGTTGATATATTCCGCAACAAGATCAGAAAATAGAGAACAAGAATTCTTCATTAACTCACCATTATTCCAAATTTAAGCAACACCAAATATCAACTTTCTTTATAAACAGTCCCCTCTAAATAATCAAATTTAAGCAAATTCAAGCAAGATAAAATATCAACTTTCTCTAAAATACTTCCTTTTATGTGTATTGTATATGTTAAATATTTGATATCCAGGGGTGTCCCGATAGACTTATGCACAGCAGTTGCACCTTGATTATATATGTGTATATATTTACATTAGCCTTTATTGACCACCAAGTCAATCATGATAATTCTTTACCTGATTGTTCCCAACCACTATCCTCAAATAGGTTACTACTCTTCTATATGATACATTGCCAAGGAAATGTGATACGTGGATAAGAAACGAACAAGGATCAACAAAGCACAAAAGATCAAATGATAAATCATATAAAATATCGAATAAGAAAAATTTGCTCATGCACACATTTGACACCTACAAGATACATAAGTACGTATCTAAGACAATTCCCATAATAATAGTTGTTGAAATGTTCTGCAGTTAATTGCTGAACATGTCTGAATAATAATGCCCTTCAACTTCATAACCAAACTCAGAGAAATTTATACTAGATATTCAAAAAGAAAGTATTCCCTATTCTCTTCCCAAGAAAGCTGAGGCAAAGTATCAAAATCCATATAGAACCTGATCATACAAAATTAGATATCCCTTGGCTCGAAAATTTCAAATTATGCAGCCTCGTCATTGGTATTGTCGTTGTTGATTTTCTGCACAAAAAGAAGCCAGACCTCTTTTAGCCCTTCAAGAGGGGTATCTCATAATGCAAACATTTTGCAGAAGAAATTGTAATCTTGAATATGCTGAATAGCATTAAAGTATCTAATGAACTCTATTAGAGAATGATTGGTTAAAACTAGATGGATGTGGTAAAACATAGAGCTCATGGTGCCCTATAGCAAATAGGCATTGCTGCAGCTTTTACTAGACAGGAATACAAGCCACAAGAGCATGAAATCCAGTTCTTATATTATCACCAGAAATCCTCAAATAAGTAGCTGAAATTCCAGAGTAAGTCGGCCAGAGAAATACGAGCAAGCCGAGATCGCTTACACTTTGTTAAGTGTCGTCGAACATATGGGTTTACTTATCACAAACTAAGGGTTATTATACCATACTATGGGTTCACTTATCACAGACTAATGTTCATTATCCTAAACTATGAGTTTATTAATTCCCCATATGAAAAGTGTAGAATTATACTGAATTCTAAAATGCACTTCACAACCATATATTAACTTCTACAAATATCACTCACTGTACAAACACAGACTATGCAAACTCAATTCTGCACTTCAGACCACACTAGTCTTGTCGATCATTGTCACTGTTCAAGTGTTAGAATTAGGTTTACTAGCTACGGCATACATACATACGAACGAAATATACAGAACCTTACACCGTAATCGTCACGACAAAACTAAGTTTCTAACGCACTTCAATAGAATCTCCCCATCTTCCCCCAATTCCAACGTTCGATTCCCAATAATCTCGAATCGTTGGTTCAACCACAATGTCGAAAATTTCAGTCAGAATCATGAAAAACGCAATAGATTGAACATGAACCAAAAGCTAAACGCAGGAAATGGAAAGAATAGTGGAATTATCAATAATAAGCTATCGGCTAGGGCTTCGATAATGAAAAGAAAATACATAAAGCGAAGGAGAGAGAGAAATACGGATTGAGCTTTGTGCCAAGACAATCCTCTGTAGACGTTGACTGAGAAGGTAGCAGTGAGGTAAATAGTGGCGACACCGAGACCGGCTGTTAGGGCCTTGAACGCCCAGTCGCCCGCTTTACTCGCTGCTCCCATTCTCCGCCTCAATCTTCTCCGGTCTCCGCCGTTCGAATTTTCAGTTCCGGCTAAGCTTCGATCGTCACCGACCTCAGTGCTCCAAAATTCCCAATAAATCAGCTTCGGGAGCTTGATTTGCTTAGAAAACCAAACGAACCCTTTCGCGACGTCGTTTCGATTCCCAAAATAAGGGTTTCGTTCGGCCGCCTTCTGATTAAATTTTATTT